GCATGACCCCAACCGAGGTCGGGGACAAACTGCAACTGAGGCACATGCCCTTAGCGGGAAACGAACCCGGGACTCTCTGGTCGGTGGGCCGATGCTCTAATTGCTGAGCCAAACCGGCCAGGGCTAAGATTGCATATATTTAAGGTGATGATTTGATATATGTATACATTGTGGGGGACATACTTTTTAAAGTTCAATAGTTTTGCCCTGGCCATTTTGGCTCAGCGGTGGGAGTGTCGGCCCGTGGACCAGAGAGTCCCGGGTTCGTTTCCCGCTAAGGGTATGTGCCTCAGTTGCAGTTTGTCCCCGACCTCAGTTGGGGTCATGTGGGTGGCAACCAGTCGATGTGTCTCTTTCACATCGTTTCTCTCTCTCTCTTCCTCCCTCTCTCCCTCCAGCTCTGTCTGAAGATAAATGCAAAGAAAAAAAAAGTTCAATAGTTTTGAAACAGATTGTAGGCTCAAAACTAATAGCAGCAGTACACCTGCCTTAAACAGAAAAAGCTCTCTATACAAGTTACAACTTGAAAATATGATACAAAAATAGATTGTACCTTTCTAGAATGGGTAAAACTTCCCATCTATAAAAACACGGGGAGTACTCGCTTCGGCAGCACATATACTAAAATTAGAACGATACAGAGAAGATTAGCGTGGCCCCTGTGCAAGGATGACACGCAAATTCGTGAAGTATTCCATATTTTTTTGGAGTTACCTTTACCTTTTCTATAACTTGTACCAAATAATCCACTTACATCTTTTCATTTGTACCATTCCTTCAAATAAAGTAATTTGGTACCCCCCCAAAATAAATAAAAACATGGGGAAAAAACAAAATATATTTTTTAAAGTTAGAAAAACAATGGCAGTAATCAATATTCCCTTTTAGCCCAATTTTCAAAAACATTCTGGTTTGATAAGTGGGTAAGGTTTCTTACATTGCCACTAATAGAAAAGGCATTCAGAAATAATCAAGTATACTGAGGTCAGTATACTGATGAAACTGACTTCAGTATATCACCCTGGGCAATGGTAGCTGCCCCTTTTCTTTTCAGCAGGACTTACGAAGATTGCTAATAATAATGCACTGCCTCTTGTTAAGGATGATGTAACATAGCATTTTTTTTTTCAGGTTAAGAAGCTTTGGCTTTATTTATTTATTTATTTATTTATTTATTTAATTGGTACGTGCCCATAGTGGGAACCGAACCTGGGACTCTCTGGTCTGCAGGCCGACGCTCCAACCGCTGATCCAAACTGGCCAGGGCATAACAGTATTTTTTAAAGTCTTTATTGTTGAGAGTATTACAGATGTCCCCCATTAACAGTACTTTTAATGTCTATAAAGGTGTTTCATGGATTTTGGTATTTTTCAAATTACATTGTAAAGTTGGTACTACTTCATCTAAATAATTTTTATCTTGCTTTGGCAACAACTCAAAGAAATATCTATAGTTGGTATATGAATTAACTTTACTGACTTGTTACATTTATTCATCTGTATTTTCCCCTTAATACAGTTTCCCTCTTTAGAAGTTTAGCTATTTTACCTTGCTTAAATATGCTACATGAAAAGAAAGTGAGGTGTCAATATATTTCAGCAATTACACTTAATTCCTCCCTCTTTTCTGTCTAGAGGAAATGTCTGGTAAAGTTGAAGTAAAAAAAATCAAATCCTGTATCTTAACAATAAATTTATTCAAGTAAATACCATAAAAATTAATAACATTCAGTTTGAACATGTTAATGATTAATTACAACCCAGAAATCTTCTTTATCCCAATATTTATGTTCTTTTGGAACTGTAGTTTTCCCTAGATTTATAATAATTGATTAACTTTTAAAAAGTCCAAAGTTATTCCACTACATGAATTTTATCTTTTTTTTTATCCTCATCCGAGGACATTTTTCCATTTTTGTTTAGATAGAGTGGGAGGGAGAGAGAGGAAGAGAGAGAAAGAGAAAATCAACGTGAAAGGGACACATCGAGTGGCTGCCACTCACACGACCAACCAGGGCCGGGGACAAACTGCAACCGAGGTACGCACCCTTAGCGGGAACCGAACCCGGGTTTCTCTGGACTGCAGGCCAATACTTTAACCGCTGAGTCAAACTGGCCAGGGCTACATGAAATATTTTAAACATGAAAATTATTCATTAAAAAAAGCAAATAAAGATATGGCTTAAAGCATAAAACGTTCTTTGTTCTCATGGCTTATCACTCTGTGTAGAAATTCTAGAGATAGAATTACAGAAATCAGACCCACAAAGAATCTTTGTGGTACAAATTTCTTCATTATCCTTTTTACTGGAATGTAACCTAAGCTATTGTAATCCTTTTGCCCTGTGACTACCATCATATAACGTTTTGAAGACTTCGGTTAACTAAAGAAATAGAACAAAGCTTTTTAAATGAAAATCTGTGCTAATATGAAGATAAAAACTCAGGCTAAAAAATTTTGTTTATCTAGCTGGTGTGGCTCAGTGGTTGAGTGTTGACCCATGTACCAGGAGGTTGATGGTTCGATTCCTGGTCAGGGCACATGCCCTGGATGTGGGCCTGGTCCCCAGTGGGGGGGTATGCAGGAGGCGGCCAATTGATGTTCTTTCTCATTGATGTTTCTATCTCTCTCCCTTTCCCTTCCCCTCTCTCAAATCAATAAAAGAAACAAAATTTTAAAAAAAATTCATGTTTGCTTCATTTAGTATTAGAGACACTCAGAATTCTATCATATTTATGGTTAGTACCATTGGTTAATGCCCTATCACAAGATTACCAGAAACTTCATTAAGATACTAGGAGAGCCCTGGCCGGTGTTGCTCACTGGTTGAGTGCCGACCCATGCACCAGGAGGTTGCCGGTTGAATTCCGGGTCAGGGCACATGCCCAGGTTGTGGGCCCGATCCCTGATTAGGGGCATGCAGGAGGTGGCCAATCGATGTTCTCTCTCATTGATGTTTCTCTCTCTCCCTCCCTAAAAATCAATCAATAAAAAATATTTTTTAAAAAAGATACTAGGAGAACTCTTAAAGATTGGTCCATTAACAAAGAAGCAGACATATTAGATGATCAGTAAAAATCTGTTGAATTGTATGATGTGAAACATTAAGTATTTGAATAATACTTTAAAGTTATCTTATTTACTATGTCAATGGTATTTTAAACAAAATTTTAATGTTTCCTTCATTGATTTTAGAGAGAGCAGAAGGAAGAGAGATAGAAACATCGATGAAAGAGAACATCGATTGGCCGCCTCCTTCATGCCCTCCACTGGGGATTGGGCCCACAACCTGGGTATGTGCCCTGACTGAGAATTAAATGGCAACCTCCTGGTGCATGGGTTGACACTCAACCAGTGAGCCACACTGGCCAGGCCGTCAATAATTTTCTTTGCAATAATTATATATATTTACTTTAGAAAAGAACAAGGTCTCATACTTTAGTTACTCCAGGTTAACATATTTTCATATTTATAACCATCATTAAGTCACAAGTTTTTGAAGAGTTTCTGAACAGACTAAGAAATGGCACTCTTGCCTAATCAGAGTGGCTCAGTTGGTTGAGCGTTGTCCTGTGCACTGAGAGGTCGTGGGTTTGATTCTCGGTCAGGGCACATACCTGGGTTGTGCATTTAATCCTTGGTCAGGGCACGTATGGAAGACAACCGATCTATGTCTCTCTCCCACATGAATGTTTCTCTCTCTCTCCCTCCCTCCCTCCCTTCCTTCCTCTCACTATGCATGTCATCGGTGAAGATTAAAAAAATAATGACACTCTTACAACACAAAAGGTAAATCTTAATGCAAACTATGTACTTGTGTGATGATATGTCAATGTAGGTTCATCAATTACAACAAATTTACCACTCTGGTGGGGTAAAGTTCATAATGGGGAAGACTATGCAGGGGATATATGTAGGGACAGGGGGTATACAGGAAATCTCAATTTTTTTGTAAAAACTAAAGTTTATTATTATTATTTTTTTAATCCTCACCCAAGGACATTTTTCCATTTTTTGTTCAGATAGAGTGGGAGGAAGAGAGAGAAACATCGATGTGAAAGGGACACATCGAGTGGTTGCCACCTGCATGATCCAACCAGGGCCGGGGACAAACTGCAACGGAGGTAATGTGCCCGGGAACCGAACCCGGATCTCTCTGGACCGCAGGCCGATGCTCTAACCGCTGAGCTAAACCAGCCAGGGCAATTCTATTGTTTTTATTTATTTATTTATTTTTAATCCTCACCTGAGGGCATTTTTCCATATTTTGTTCAGATAGAGTCGAAGGGAGGGAGGGAGGGAGGGAGGGGGAAAGAGAGAGAGAGAGAGAGAGAGAGAGAGAGAGACATCCACGTGAAAGGGACACATCGAGTAGTTGCCACCCATACGACCCAACCAGGGCCGAGGACAAACTGCAACCGGACAAACTGCAACCGAGGTACATGCCCTTATGCCCTTAGCGGGAACCGAACCCGGGTCTCTCTGGACCGCAGGCCGACGCTCTAACCGCTGAGCCAAACCGGCCAGGGCAATTCTATTGTTTTTAAAAGGCACTTATTTAGCCCTGGCCAGTTTGGCTCAGCAGTTCGTGTCAGGCCTCAGACCAAAGAGTCAGGGGTTTGATTCTGGTCAAGGGCACATACCTCAGTTCTGGTTGGGTCCCTAGCCCTGGTCAGAGTTGTGCGGGAGGCAACCAACCAATTTATGTGATGTTTCTTTCTCTCTCTCTCTCTCTCTCCCCCTCCTTCTATCTGAAGATAAATGGAAAACTATCCTCGAGTTAAGATTTAAAAAAATAAAAAAATGTTAAAGCTGTAAGTAAAACTTTTACTGAGACATTTAGTTTATGTTCATTTAATTGCTATTCCAGGTCATTTGTACCATCTATTGTAAATTCTTCAAGTAAACTTGTTGATTACCAAGCAAAATTAGATAAAAACACTTTAAATTCTATTATATAATAAAGTTGACTTTAAAGATCTACCTTAATAAAGTTTAAGACAAAGATCCTAGATTTATATAAGAGATCCTATTATCTGATCACATTACCTCTCTAGTTATATATTGCTCACTGCTGATAAAAAAATAATGTTCACCAATATGTCACATGCATGGTTAGTGTTTTATTCTTTGAAGAATAGTTCAGAAACATCACACTAAGTTAGACTGAAAGGTAAAGTTTAAAATATGTTTTATAAGGATATGTTTTAACATATGTAATGACTGTTTACTCTACAAAATCTTGATCATAGAGCTTATGATACACCTAGTTGGCAGTAGCACCCAGGTTTTCCAAATTGTCAGTCATCATTTTTCTCTTGTCTGCATAGACTTCTTTTCATTAGATGCTTTCTGCTTTTGTTGCATGATCTCAGAGTCCCTATAATGGGAAAAAAGTCTGTAAGTTGTTACAGAAAAGCTGATTATATTTTCATTTGTTTTCTATATATAACCCATTTAGTGTATTAGAGGACAATGTAAAAGAAGATGTAAGCATTCATATCTTTCATTTTCATGGATGGAGAAAGAATGAGAAGGCAAAGAATGAAAAGGCTTTGAAGTCAGATCTTATTTGAATACCATCTCTACTGTTATCATGACCTTGGGCCAAATAATCTTGAAGCCTTTAAAAAATCGGAGCAATAAATATCAGGGTCAGTCTGGGGAATAGCTATGAATACATATAAAAGCATCTGACATTAGCTAGCTACATGCAGATATATGGCAATTATGTTGTCAACAAAGCTAAATCATTCTAAATTTTTTCCTGGAAAAAAGGGGACATTTAATAAGTCTCCTAGAGCCCTGGCCAGGTAGCTGGGTTGGTTAGAACATCGTCCTGACATGCCAAGGTTGCAGGTTCGATCCCCGGTCAGGGCACATACAAGAGACAACCAATGAATGCATAAATAAGTGGAACAACAAATCGATGTTTCTCTCTCTCTCCCTAAAATTAAAAAAAAAAAAAAAAAAAAAAATTAAATAAAAAAGAAGTCTCCTAGATATCCTAACTGGTACCTAGGATTAGAACATAGATGTTGTGAAGTAATTCAGTTTCTTTTTTTTTTGTAATTCATTTTCTTATAAGCCGAAAGCCCAATAGGTAGTGATTAAAAATGGATTACACTAAAGAAAAGTAGGATATTCAGGGCCTTCTCTTAACCTTTTGTGTCTCTGGCTGAACTCCACATGCTATATTAAGTGTGAACTACAACCAGACTACTTGGGCTAGATGGTTCAAGAAACCCACATTAAAAAATATATTAATGGCTATGTATTCAACACCTACTGTGCACCAGGCACTTTACTGCCTCTAGATTAAGTCCCACAACTCTGATTTGTTCTACCCACATTTCAGACTACACAAAATTTTTTTAAAGGAAAAAGAAAAAAAAAAGTAATGGCTTAGAGCTAAATAATTTATCCCAAATCACATAAAAACCAAGGTTTGTCCAGTTTTAAAGTACAGGCTCTTTTTATCATTGCATAGACTTAGTATTACATTTTAATTCAGGATATGTAGTTCTGCTTAAGACATATCTGTAAAGCCAATAGCAAAAACAAGAAATGAGAAGGAAGAAAAAACATGACAGCTACAAAGAAATGAGGTATCATAAAATAGTGATAGTTTTCTGTTTGAATCCAAGCTCTGCTGTAGTTGCTGTATGACCTCAGTATTGTTACTGAATTCAGAACCTCGGTTTCCTATTCTATGCATTGAACTCTTTTCAGAGCTGTGATAATTAGAGGTACTACATATAGAACATCCAGTACAGAGCATTATAAGAAGTGGAAGTTCATTAAACAGTGGCTATTACTAAACCAAGCTGGACTAGGTTCTCGACTGAAAATACTATTTCAGGGTCACTGATTTGTACTACTTTCCTTTCATTTCTTTCTTTCTTTTTTTAATATATTTTTTTTATCCTCACCTGAGGACATTTTTCCATTTTTTGTTCAGGTAGAGTGGGAGGGAGAGAAAGAGAGAGAGACAGAGAAAGAGAGAAAGAAACATCAACATGAAAGGGACACATCGAGTGGCTGCCATCCACATGACCAACCAGGGCCAGGGACAAAATGCAACCGAGGTATGTGCCCTTAGCGGGAACCGAACCCGGGTCTCTCTGGACCGCAGGCCGATGCTCTCACCTCTGAGCCAAACCGACCAGGGTTACTTGCCTTTCATTTCAATGTGAGTAAACAGAAATGTAAAAACCTTTTTTAAAAAGAATGTCATAGAAAGAAAGTGTGAAGTGCCGTTTAAAGGCTTCATAAGCCCTGGCCAGGTAGCTCAGTTGGTTAGAGTATAGTCCCAAAATGCCAAGGTTGCAGGTTCAATCCTCAGACAGGGCACATACAAGAAGCAACCAATGAATGCATAAATAAGTGGAACAACAAATCAATGTTTCTCTCTTTCTCAAATCAATACATACATTAAAAAAAAAAAAAAAAAGGTGGTTAAAGTCCAGCTGGTGTGGCTCAGTAGACTGAGCATCGTCCCATGGACTGAGAGGTCCAGGTTTGATTCCTGGTCAGGTCACATGCTCAGGTTGTAGGTCAAATCCTCAGTGAGGAGCATGCAGGAGGTGGCCAATCAATGTCCTCTCTCATCGATGTTTCTCTCTCTCTCTCCCTCTCCCTTTCTCTCTCTCTAAAATTAATAGAGAATACCCAACTGGTGTGGCTCACTGATTGAGCATCAACCCATGCACCAAGAGGTCGCCAGTTCGATTCACATGCCCAAGTTGCGGGCCCGATCCCCAGTGGGGGGCGTGCAGGAGGCAGCCAGTCGACGTTCTCTCTCATCGATGTTTCTAGCTCTCTCTCCTTCTCCCTTCCTTTCTCTCTAAAATCAATAAAGAAAAATATTTTAAAAAATTAATAGAGAAAAAAAATCAATAAATAAGGTACAATACAATTTACCTTGAGGACCTTTTAATGCCGAACCCCAGACCAATTAAATCAGGACTAGGTATAGGGCACAGTAGATTGAGCAGGCTTCAAGGTTTCCCAAGTGGTTCTAATGTGCAGCCAGGCTCAAAGATCACAGAGAAGCCACACTAAAGCATGAGTAGTCAATTATTCATTTGATCTCCAAGTTCCACATAAGTAACAACATTTGACTTTAGAATAAAATGAAACTTCGATTAACTTTTTTAGAAACATGAATGCATTAAAAAAAAATCCTCACCCAAGGATACGTTTTTACTGATTTTAATGGGGAGAAGAGAGAGAGAGAGAAACATTGATTGGTTGCCTCCTGTACCTGCCCTGAGTGGGGATTGAACTCATAACATTTCAGTACATGGGACAACGCTCTAACTAACTGAGCCACCCAGCTAGGGCTGAATGCATTGTTTGTACTTAAGCTCAGTCTCAAAGTATTCCTGTAGCAGTTTTGTATTTGTCATACATAGTCACATACAAGGTTGTTCACTTGCATTTTCTCCAACTCAATGAATCTTCAGAAGTCAATACAGCTACATATACTTCTTTGTCTCCTTCAGAACAGTTATCGCTATAATTGAGTCACCTGTCATCCAGACTAGTTTGGATAGAATGTCTGCTTTGAAAATGTTGTATCCCTAGCACCTAACAGTGGACTACATTCAATTATTTTGATAAATGAAGTTCTTATGGTTGTGGTGGAGTTGTATAAGGTTCTCTGCAAAACAAATGATAGCTTGAGAGTTTTAAATTCTTCATCTATGGGTTGGGATGATAACTACCCCATATAGATTTAGTATGCCTGGCACACAAAAAATATTCAACTGTTACCCCTTTCTGCAGGTTAGGCCTCGTTCTATCAATAATTTAAAAAATGTTTTCCAGCCCTGGCTGGTTTGGCTCAGCGGTTAGAGCGTTGGCCCATGGACCAAAGAGTCTCAGGTTTGATTCCAGTCAAGGGCAGATATCTCAGTTGCGGTTTGTTCCCGGCCCTGGTCCGGGTCATGTGGGAGGCAACCAGTCGATGTTTCTCTCTCTTTCCCTCCCTCCCATTCTATCTGAAGATAAATAGAAAAATATCCTCCGGTGAGGATTAAAAAAAAAATGCTTTCCATTTTCCACAATGAAAACTTCGGTGACTTGGGAACTCTGTTAGTATCACTGACCTCTGTTTTCTCTGAGAGGTAGTCAAGCTATCCTCTTTTCTTTTTCCCTTGCTACTTTCCTGGGATTTCTTCATGTTTTTCTGGCGGGCAAGTTCTCGTTGATTTCCACCTACAAAGAAAAATAGTCATGCTCTTTTCCCACTACCAAAATTACTAATTCCATTATAAGGCTCTTATTTTAGTGCATCTGAAGTTTGCTTTTTAATAGATAAGCCAGCAGAATACTGCACTGAGTGGTGTTCCCAGATCTGACCACAAGGAGGAAGGAAGCTTAAAGGTAAATACTTAAGATCTTGAGAGTATTATCATACCAATCCAGGTGTTCACTGGCTGTAAATGCCAGATCTCTTTAAACAGGCATCCCATTCCAACCGTCTGTATATATGGACAAGTATTCCTACGTAAGTTCTCGCTTTTGCGGGGTGTGGGTGGAATGAGAACGGTACACAGAGAGATACTTTGCACAAGTTGGCCCATCACACGCCAACTGTTAAGCAAGCAAATGCAGATGCTTGTGAAACATTACCTGTGAGGGCCAAAAAAAAAAAAAAAAAAAACTAGGGAGGAGACTCAGTTGGAGCTCCCAGTTTTTATTAGGCCTTATGATTTTAAGCACCAGCTATAAACCACATCCAGACCACGACCCCTCCCGGGGCTGCGGTCTCTACACACCTCACCTCCGGGGAGGTGTTCTTTACCTTGTAAACTCGCACCTGACCGGAACCAACCGTCCCTCTCTCTGCTGACTGAAGACGGGGTCCCTGCCCGTCTGGCTGGGGGGATTCACCAGCCGGTCCCCGTCTCCCCGCCAACCGCCCCTCGGTGACCCATTAGCTTCCTCGCCGGACGCTCCCCGCCGCCTCCCCAACCCGTCGTCACACTCACGGGCCATGCCGACCACAGCACGGAGGCTGGAAAAGAGGGACTCGGAAAAGCAAAGGTTTACTCGCACGCTCAGCCGATGTCCCCACCAGTCGATCTGGAAAGGGGAGCTAGTGCGCGCCCTCCGCTGGGCGACGCCTCTGCCGGGTCCACCGCCCCGCCCACCGAGGCAAGACCAAGGCGACCCGCGTGACTGGCCAGCCCTGCGCGTGCGCGGCTGGGCGGGGGGCGGGGCGCGACCAGGCCGGGCAGCCGCTTGGGGAAACTATTCGGCACTTCCCGCATCTGCGGCCTTTGCAAGTTGGGTGGAGTCCCGGAAACAGGCCTCGTGTATGGGAGAGGGATCGGCGCGTGTGGACTTTCCCCACCACGTACTAGGCACTGGGGCTTGACCAGCCCTCATTTTGGGGGAAACAACAAAAATGACAATAAACGCTGTAATGTCTAACTTTCCGACAAAACGTTAGCTTTCTTCGTCTCCTGGAAGCGGTGGGAAGGATGTGATTGGAACAGAACAGATAGAGGGTTAACTGCGAAAGGCAATGTCTGGCCCTTAATTTCCTTGTTTATTCTCACACCTACCCGGCAAGGTAGGCAGGCTTCATTGTTCTCAGTTTACTCTAGAGGATGATACCAGAAAGGGGACCTGGCCCTTCACGGTTATGCCTAGGGCTGGGTCTTGACTTCCTGAGGGAAGTTTCACAGCACAAGTCCTTGTGGACTTTAGAGGACATTTATTAAAGTTGGGGACAGTGAAACAAGACAGGGCTGGGGAAACGAGTTTAGGTTGGTCTGCTTTGGCTCACTAAGTCAGAGAAAAGAGGACCTTGGGGACAGGTTCAGGGGGTTTGCCTGGGATGAACTGCCACTACCATTGCTGCCCTGGTTATGAGCCTCCTACCTAAGAGATAGATACATGCCTGTGGAGGAAGAAAGGGGGGCGGGGGTAGTGTGGGGTGCTCCTGGGAAGGAAAGAATGGGGCTGGGTCCTTTGTCTTAAGGCTTTTCTTTCTTTCTTGCAGGTGGGAATCTTAGGGGAGGGTGTCAATGTAGTATTCATCAGTTTTCTAGTTGTTCTCCTTCAGGGAGGTGGTCTTTATTGATTGGTCAGTGTCAGGGCAGGAGGTCCTTAGTCATTGTCATTGGTCCTGGTCTGGCCCACTGGGTTTGCTCTTCTGGGTCTGGAGCTGAAATACCACTGAGGCCTAGATGTTATTTCTAGAGAGGTGACCTTCTATATTTGTAGAATTGTGGGACTACCCTAGACTCTTTTTTTTTTTTTTAATTTTTATTTAATTTTTAATTTAATTTTTGTTACAGATGTTTCTCGTTTTTTACCCATTGACACCCTCCTCCGTATACCCCCCTGTCACGTCCCCCGCCTTGTTGTCCATGTCCATTGGTTATGCATACATGCATATAAGTTCTGTGGTTTATCTCTTCCCTACCCCCTCCACCCCCTCTTCTGAGGGTTGTCAGTCTGCACCCTACTTCCATGTTTCTGGGTCTACCCTATTCCTCAGACTGTTATGTTCATTACATTCCATAAATAAGTGAGAGCATGTGGTATTTGTCTTTTTCTGCTTGGCTTGTTTCACTTAGGATAATACTTTCCAGGTCCCTCCATGTCGTCTCAAAGGATAAGAGATCTTTCTTTCTTACAGCTGCATAGTACTCCATTGTGTATATGTACCATCACTTTTTTTTTTTTTTTATCCTCACCCGAGGACACTTTTCCATTTTTTGTACAGAGTGGGAGGGAGAGAGATGAAGAGAGAGAGAGGGAAACATCGATGTGAAAGGGACACATCGAGTGGCTGCCACCCGCACGACCAACCAGGGCCGGGGACAAACTGCAACCGAGGTACATGCCCTTAGCGGGAACCGAACCCGGGTCTCTCCGGACCGCAGGTGGACGCTCTAACCGCTGAGCCAAACCGGCCAGGGCTGTACCATCACTTTTTTATCCATTTGTCTACTGATGGACACTTGGGCTGTTTCCAGATCTTAGCTATTGTAAATAGTGCTGCTGTGAACATGGGGGTACATATATTCTTTCTGATTGGTGTTTCAGGCTTCTTAGGGTATATTCCTAGAAGCAGGATCACTGGGTCAAATGGATGTTCAATTTTTAATTTTTTAAGGTAACACCATATTGTTTTCCATAGTGGCTGCACCAGTCTGCATTCCCACCAGCAGTGTACTAGAGTCCCCTTTTCTCCACACCCTCACCAACACTTGTTTGATGATTTGTTGATGGCGGCCATTCTGACAGGTGTGAGGTGATACCTCATTGTTGTTTTAATTTGCATCTCTGTGATGATTAGTGATGTTGAGCATTTCTTCATATGTCTCTTGGCCATTTGTATGTCCTGTCTGGAGAGGTGTCTATACAGCTCCTCTGCCCATTTTTAATTGGGTTCTTTGTCTTCCTTTTGTTGAGCTGTATGAGTACTCTATATTTTGGAAATTAACCCCTTATCTGATGTATCATTGGCAATGATGTTCTCCCATACAGTGGGTTGCCTTTCCATTTTGATGGTTGTTTCTTTTGCTGTGCAGAAGCTTTTGAGTTTGATGTAGTCCCGTGTGTTCATTTTCTCCTTTGTTTCTGTTGCCTTAGGTGATGTATCAGTGACAATTCTGCTGCGTATAATGTCTGAAATTTTGTTTCCTACATTTTCTTCTAGGATTTTTATGGACTCATGAGTCACATTTAAGTCTTTTATCCATTTTGAGTTTATTCTTGTGTATGGTGTAAGTCGATGGTCTAGTTTCATTTTTTTGCATGTAACTGTGCAATTTTCCCAACACCATTTATTAAAGAGGCTGTATTTACTCCACTGTATGCTCTTGCTACCTTTGTCAAATATTAATTGAGCATATTGCCTTGGGTCCATTTCTAAGTTCTCTGCTCTGTTCCACTGGTCCATATGCCTGTTCTTGTGCCAGTACCAGGCTGTTTTTATTACAGTCGCTTTGTAGTATAATCTGATATCTGGTATTGTGATCCTACCTACTTTGTCCTTCTTTTTCAAGATTACTGTGGCTATTTGAGGTCTTTTTTGGTTCCATATGAACTTTTGAAGTTTTTGTTCTAGTTCTGTGAAGTATGTCATTGGTATTTTGATGGGAATTGCATTGAATCTATAGATTGCTTTGGGTAATATGGACATTTTAATGATGTTAATTCCTCCAATCCATGAACAGGGTATGTGCTTCCACTTTTTTATATCTTCCTCTATTTCTTTTTTCAATGTCCTGTAGTTTTCTGCAAATAGGTCCTTTAGTTCTTTGGTTAAGTTTATTCCTTGGTATCTTAATTTTTTTGCCGCGATGGTAAATGGGATTGTTTTTTCAGTTTCTCTTTCTGCGAGTTCATCATTGGTGTATAAGAATGCCGTCGATTTCTTGACATTAATTTTGTATCTTGCTACTTTGCCAAATTCATTTATTAAGTCTAGTAGATTTTTGATGGAGTCTTTAGGGTTTTCTATGTATAATATCATGTCATCTGCAAATAATGACAGTTTCACTTCCTCCTTTCCAATTTGGATCCCTTTTATTTTTATTTCATGTCGATTGCTATGGCTAAGACTTCCAGTACTATGTTAATTAAGAGTGGCGAAAGTGCGCATCCCTGTCACCTTAGACTCTTAAGTGGAAGAGAACATTTGAAGAAAAGCCTTGTGTCCTCAGTTTCTACCAGAATATGCTGTCCAAAGCTTTCTAGTCCTATCCGTGGCTCCAAGATTTTTGAGACACCTCCAGCAGGTATTTTTTTGTTGATTTATTAAACTTCTTTTTAAAATTGATTTTAGAGAGAAAATAGTTACCGTCCCTCCTAGGAGGTAAATGTTACCTGAATTTCTATTCTATGTTCTACTCAATTTAGAATTTCTAAGCCCTGGTGATGTGCTGGTAAACAGACTCAGCTATATAGGACCCTCTAAAAACAATCGGTCAGCGATTTTAGTGGTTCCTGTAAAATTTTGGGCTGAGAGGGTTGACTACCTTTCCTCCCTCTTTTCAACAACTTGTATGGACGCCCGGAGAGGGGAGAGCACACAGCCTGATACCCCTATTTCTGATTCACAGGTTTCCCAGACTAGTTTGACAGTTACCATGGCTCCGGGCGCTGTGCGTCTTACGTCATCCCGCAGCGCTCGCTGATGACGCACTTAGTTTAGGCGCTCTTTGACGGCGGAGAGCAAGGTGTAGAGGGAAACTTAGCTCTTAAATGTAGCAGGGTCATGAAGAAGAGGCGGCGGCGGGAGGCAGCAGGAGGCGGTGGCGGCGTGAATCTGCGGTAGCTGCCTGCTAGGCTGATTTGTGGCTTTGTGGGAAGGGCGTAGTTCCTAACCCCCTTTCGGGCAGCGGCCGGGGCTCGGGGCTAAGAGCGGCCGTGAGGCCGCCTCCCCGGGCCCCCTGGCTCCGCCATGTTCCGCAGGGCACGCCTTAGCGTGAAGCCGAATGTCAGGCCTGGTGTTGGGGCTAGGTGCTCCACTGCCACCAATTCCCAACGTGGACAGGAGGCTCCCAGGCCGCCGGAACCTGCACCGGCCTGTGACCCGAAGCCAGCGGAGCCCACAGATATACCCTCTTTGGATTTCGGGGGAGCGGAGACCCAAAAAGAGGCTCCCAGAAACAGGTAAGTGCTTGAAGAGGGGAGCATTTTCATCTGCCCTGCCTCTCTGGGCCTGTCAGCTGAGCAGGTGAACTTTACTGTAGGAGTAACTTTCTCGCTTGCACCTAAGCCTTACAATTGAGGCCGGAGGATATAGATACTCAGGGAGAGAACCATGTTTTCTTTATTTCTATTTTTTTTGGTGGTATATGCCCCTAGCGGGAACCGAACCCGGGACTCTCTGGTCCGCAGGCGGATGCTCAACCGCTGAGCCAAATTGGTCAGGGCATGAGAACCATGTTTTCAAGTGGTTGTGGGAGGAATCCAAGTGTAACAGTCTTGAAGTGAATATCCACACGCGGTATTATTCATTAGAGAATTTAGAGCACTGTAGTTTTTGTTCTTCTGGAGTACTTTGTTGGGATAAGAAGTTTTAAAAAATTTTTAAACATTTTTATTTATTTTTTTAGAGGGGGGAGGGAGGGGAAAGAAAGAGAAACATCGATTTGTTCCCCTTATTTATGCATTCTTGTCTGCTTTTTTAAATATTTTTTTATTTTTTAACCTCATTCGAGGACATTTTTTCATTTTTTGTTCAGGCACAGTGGAGGGGGGGTGGGAGAGAGAAACAAACATGGACATGAAGGGACACATTGAGTGGTTGCCACCCGCAGGGCCATCCAGGGCTGGGGACAAACTGCAACTGAGGTGCGTGCCCTTAGTGGGAACCGAACCTGGGTCTCTGGACCACAGACCGATGCTCCAACCGCTGAGCCAAACCAGCCAGGGCTCATTGTTTGCTTTTTGTATGTGCCCTGACCAGAGATCAAATCGGCCACCTTGGCTTATAGGGAGGATGCTCTAACCAACTGAGCTACCCGGCCAGAGCCAAAATGTATGTTGTTATTATTTTAAAATTTTTATTTGTTTATTTTTGATTAATGTTTTTACGGAAAGGAAGGGAGAGGGAGCGAGGGAGTGGAAAATTGATGAGAGAAACATCTATCCATGAACTTTGTCTTGCATGCCCCCTACTGGGGATGGAGCTGCAATCCGGCATGTACACTGACCCGGAATCCAGAATCCAACCAGTGACCTGTAGGTGCATGGGAGGATGTTCAACCAACTGAGCCACACCCACTAGGGCAAAACATTTATTTTTAAAAGAAGACCAGTGTTATTTTGGTTCTGCTGATTTATGTCAGTGGAAAAAAGATCTCGCTACTTTGTTTTCAGGATGTGCCCCTTTACCCTTAGTGACCATGTTTTCAGTACAGAAAAGCAAGTGTCATGTACCGAATTTGGATTCAGAATTATTCTACTGCATTAAACAATTTAGTAGACTTTGCCCGGGCAGAATTTACTCATCTGTAAAATGGAGATAATATTACCTGCTTTGGAGAATTATTGTGCAGATTAGAAATAATTGCACAGGACATGGCAGAATAGTTGCTTACAAAAAGTTATTTGTTTAAAATAAAGGTGATGGAGCAAAGTCAAGACATGTCAAGCTAATGAGCTCTGTTTCTATAGTATACATGTGAGGAAACCAATAAAAGACAGCCTTATTAAATGATAGTGAGATGCTATAAATTCTGTTTATGCTCTAGCTTAAAGGTAAAAATTTTATTCTTTTCTTTTTGGCTTTTCTGTTGGCCTGAACTGGTGCTGGGTATAGGGTATTACTTGGGTAGCTTAATGGTGCTTAGTAATTTCCAAGTTTCTGACATGAATTTATTTCAAAATTCCTCCCAAAAATGGAGATACAAATACCAGTTACTGTTAAATTAATGAGGTTCTCAGAGTCCTGTTAACATGTACATATAATCGCCCTGGCTGGTTTGGCTCAGCGGTTAGAGTGTTGGCCCGCAGACCAATGAGTCACGGGTTCGATTCTGATAAAGAGTACGTCAGTTGCAATTCGTTTCCATGCGGGAGGCAGCCACTTGAAGTGTCCCTTTCATGTTGATGTTTTTCTCTCTCTCTCTCTGTTCCTCTCTCTCCCTCCCACTCTATCTGAACAAAAATGGAAAAATGTCCTCGGGTGAGGATAAAAAAACAAACAAACAAAAACATATACATGTAATGCATGATGATTGATTATTTAATAAATTATTGAGTCTATATAGTCTTAACATTTAGGCTGGAAGATATTTAATTCTTAGAGTTGACATTTAGATAGTATACTTTGTTTTTTATAATGTGTTTTTCTTTTTTATGGGTCTTTGCTAGTTGTAAATATCTGTAAGGTATATGTTCTTTCCTTAGCATTCAACATAATTGGGTCTAATGCATATGGTGCATGTAACACATTATAAAGACTGATACAACAATTTAAGTCAGAGACTTTCTGGAAAGGTTACATTATAGGTTTAGGCATTTTCCACTTTTATACATAACTGTAACATGAAGAAAATAGACTGCTTTTATTTATTTATCTATTTATTTATTTATTTTTGGTACATGCCCCTAGTGGGAACCGAACCCAGGACTCTCTGGTCCGTAGGCTGACGCTCCAGCCACTGAGCCAAACCAGCCAGGGCTTAATTTTTGACTTATAAAGACATTTTTTTTCTTTATTGATTTTAGAGAGAGAGGAGGGGAGAGGGAGAGAGAGATAGAAACATCGATGAGAGAGTACATCGATTGGCCATCTCCTGCATGCTCCACACTGGGAATTGAGCCCACAACCTGGGCATGTGCCCTTACTGGAAATCGAACCAGCAACCGTCGATGCTCAACCACTGAGCCACACTGGCCATACGCCCCCTCTCTTCTTGACTTACTTTGCTTTCTGGTAATTCCTGAAATATTTATATCCAATCTGAAATATAATATCTAGTTTGGAGTGATGAGCACTTTTTTGGAGTGAAGAGTTTGGTAGCTGTATAAGTAGAGTTGTGCCTGACAAAAGATAAATGGTTTCTGCCTCAAACAGAATTTTGTTTGATGAGTGTAACTAAGTGTATATCTTCAAATGCTGCAATATAGATATTTCAGAGGTTTGATGTGTATGTTTGGTTTGACTGATCTCAGGTTGATAATTAAAGTAAAATGCCAATAATTTAGATCAGTTTAGAAGAATGTTAATGTGGATTATAAGCTTAACTTTATTATTTTTTTAAAGATTAACTTTAAAAAAATCTCAGTTATCTGATTCACATTAGGCTAATTAACCTTTGTTTTTGTAAGTTAGGGTGTGTGTTTTTGTGTTTTTTTTGCAGGACCTAGAATGAACATAAAATTGTGCTGTGATGTGCTTAGGGACTTAGACTTTATATATCAGTTAAAATAATTTACTAAAAATTCTTATTGCAACCTCTGTCATAACATACATCTTAAGTCACTGATTTTTAAAAAAAGTAATGAGACTTTACTGTTTTGGGTTTTTACCAGATTAGTTTTTAAAACAAGAATATTTGGAAGATCCATGATGCCCTTTTTATTTTCTTATTGAATTTCAACAGTAATGAAAAGACTGATGGTAAGAATGATGCTGAAGAATCCAGTAAATCTTCCACTACTGTTTCACAGAGAAGAAAGCGAATATCAAGTACTCCTACTGTGGTTAAACTTAGCGTCAGTGTTCCTTCCGTTCCTCATCCCTTATCTACAGTTAATCAAGAAGCTCCACAGCCAAACCCAAGTCCAACAAAAGAGAAAAAGTCATGCTCAGACAGATACCGGATATATAAAGCCCAGAAACTCAGAGAAATGTTAAAAGAAGAATTAAGAAAAGAGAAGGTAAGAGAGAAAAATCAGAAGTTTGACTATTGCCTGCTAGATTTCTGTTTATGTACGTCAGACATCATTTGGAGGAAAAATAAGCATTTGTAGCATTTTTATGGAGGAACAAAACCAAATAACATCCCTCATGTTAATAGAGAGTCCTTTTTTTTTTTTTAACAGAATGATTAAGAAGCACTATGGACTTAAGCTATTTTTTCATGATAGTAATTTTTTTTTTAATGCTAACCCGAGGGCTTTTTTTTTTTGCTTTATCTTCAGATAGAGTGGGAGGAAGAGAGAGAGAGACATTGATGTGAGAGAGACACATCGACTTGTTGCCACCCACACAATCCCCACTGGGGCTGGGGACAAACTTCAACTAAGGTACGTGCCCTTAGTGGGAACTGAACCCAGGACTTTCTGGTCCACGGGCCAATGCTCTAACTGCTGAGCCAATCCAGCCAGGGCGCATGATATTGATTTTTATATATTTTATTTATTTATATCTTTGATTGTTTTTGGTGAAGGCCACAAATAGAATTTTTTTCTTTATTCTTACCCGAGGACATTTTTGTATTTATCTTCAGATGGAACAGGAGGGAGAGAAGGGGGAAGAGAGAGAGAGAGAGAGAGAAACATCCATGTGAGAGAGACACATCGAGTGGTTGCCACCCACATGACCTGACCGGGGCTGGGGACAAACTGCTACTGAGGTATGTGCCCTTAGGAGCCGATCTCAGGACTCTCTGGTCCACGGGGTGATGCTCTAACTGCTGAACCAAACCGGCCCGGGCACAAATAGAATTAAAAAATATATATATGTTTTATTAATTTTTTTAGAGAGGAAGGGAGAGGGGGAGAGAGAGAGAGAAACATTGATGAGAGAGAAATATGAGCTGCCTCCTGCACACAGGAGCTCAAAACCCAGACATGTGCCCTGACCGGGAATCAAACCCGTGATCTCTTTGTACATGGATGGGCCACAAATGGAAATTTTATATACACACATATACCCCCCCACACACACATATACACATATAAGCATATTTATAACTCTTTTTATATTAAAACATTTAAAAAATATTTATACTTTTTGTTGTTAATCCTTACTTAAGGATATTTTTCAATTGATTTTTAGTGTGTGGAAGGGAGCGAGGAAAGGGGTGAGAGAGAGAGAGAGACTAAAACATTGATGTGAGAGAGATACATCGATTATTTGCCTCCTGCACGACCCTGACTAGATCAGGGATTGAACCTGCAACTCAGATACGTGCCTTTGACTGGGAATCAAACCTTCAACCCTTTGGTGTGCAGGCTGATTCTCTCATCACTGAGCCACATTGGCCAGGGCTATATTGATAGCTTTAATTTATAGCTTTTTTTTTTTTTTTTAATCCTCATCTGAGGACATTTTTCCATCTTTTGTTCAGATTGAGTGGGAGGGGGAGAGAGAGACAGACTGAAACATAGACAGAGACATCGACGTGAAAGGGACACATTGAGTGGTGGCCACCCGCACAACCCAACCAGGGCCGGGGACAAATTATAACCGAGGTACATGCTCTTAGCGGGAACTGAACCCGGGTCTCTCTGGATCGTAGGTCGACTCTCTAACCGCTGAGCCAAACTGGCCAGGGCTATAGCTTTTTTTTTAATATCTTTTTTCTTTATTGATTTGAGAAAGAGGGAGAGAGAGATAGAAACATCGATGAGAGAGAACGTCGATTGGCCGCCTCCTGCATATGTCCCCCACTGGGGATTTGGCTCACAGCCGGGACATGTGTCCTGACCGGGAATTGAATTGGCGACCTCCTGGTACACGGGTCGATGCTCAACTGCTGAGCCACACCACCCGGGACTTATTTATAGCTTTTAAACAGACGTTTTGTGAGGATGTCCAAGTAATATGAGTTATATTCATTTGATTTAAGACAAGTATAGTTGAGCAAAAATGCATTTTCAATATTTTCTAAATTGACAATATGGAAAATTGTAAATTTGAGAAATTTTTATGTATGAATATAGTAGAGTCCCTTTTTTTTTAAGTCCTTGCCCAAGGATTTCCTTTTGTTTATCTTCAGATAGAGTTGGTGGGGGAGAGATTGAGAAACATCCATGTGAGAGACACACATCAACTGGTTGCCTCCCGCATGACCCTGACCAGGGCTGGGGACCAAACCGCAACCAAGGTACGTGCCTTTGACCGGAATTGAACCTGTGACTCTGGCTTGCGGGCCGAGGCTCTAACTGCTGAGCCAGACTGGCCAGGGCGAGTACATGCTCTTTATTTTATTTTATTTTATTTTTCTTTATTGATTTTAGAAAGAGAGGAAGGGAGAGGGAGAGAGAGATGGAAACATTGATGAGAGAGAACATCAATTGGCTGCCTCCTGCATGCCCCCCCACTGAGGATTGGGCCCTCAACCTGGGCATGTGCCCTCACTCGGAATGGAACCAGTGACCTCTTCGAGTATGGGTCAACCACTGAGCCACAGTGGCCGGGCGTACATGCTCTTTTTAATCTTGAAGATTATTTTTCTGAGAGGGCAGTGTAATAGCAGTGAAGCATGTAGGCTCTGGAGTTAGGTACTTATGGTTTGAATATTAGATTTATCCCTACTGATTGTATGACTTTACGTAATTTAACTAATCTTTCTGTTTGTATTCCTTATCTGTAAAATTGGACTAATAATAGTATCTACCTAATTGAAGGGTTGTGAACATTAAATGTGTTAATATATGTAAAACTCATTTTGATTAGTGTCTGGCAAATAATAAGAGCTTAAATGTTAGCTCTTATTATTAATTATAGAATTACCTTTTTTATAATAATTAAGAGGAAGGCACTGAGCTTGGTGCTTTATATTTGTTATCATTTAATTTTCACCTGTGTGAAGTAGATATTTTACACAGGAGGAAGCAAGCTCAGAGAGGTTATTTTATTATTATTTTTTTTAATCCTCACCCGAGTATATTTTCCTTTTATTTTCCAACAGAGTGGGAAGGGGAGAGAGAGAGAGAGAAACATCAATGTGAGAGAGACACATTGACTGGTTGTCTCCTGCATGACCCCGACCAGGCCCGGGGACCTAACTGCAACTGAGGTATGTGCCCTTGACCGGAATGGAACCTGCGACCCTCTGGTCCACGGGCTGACACTCTAACCCCTGAGCCAAACCAGCCAGGGCGAGAGGTTATTTCTTTATGTCACACATTAGTGAAGGATATGGCATTTTAATCCATATCCTCTAAAATATTTTGTTTTATAGAGTATGCTTACTTAGATTTATTTTAGGAAATTCAAAATTAGTATTTGTTACAAGGAATTTATAAAATATACAGAATTAGAAGTTGTTGCAGGGTAAACAGAAACTGTGTATTTATAAATTCTCAGTAAATTATTGTAGTTAGAAAGCATCAATAAGCATGATTTTATACATTGGGCTTTTGTCCAGTCCCAGTCACTTTAGTTTTTTTTTTTTTTATCCTTACTCGAGGACATTTTTCCATTCCTTGTTCAGATAGAGTGGGAGGGAGAGAGAAGAGAGAGAGAGAGAAATATCGACGTGAAAGGGACACACCAAGTGGCTGCCACCCGCACGACCCAACCAGGGCCGGGGACAAACTGCAACCGAGGTACGCGCCCCTAGCGGGAACCAAACCCGGATCTCTCCAGATTGCAGGCTGACACTCTAACTGCGGAGCCAAACTGGCCATGGCCCAGTCACTTTAGTTTTTAAAATTCCTTATGTGTGAGAACTTTCTAACGTTCAGTTTATAACACTTTCCTAAAATTAGGCATAATTGTGGTAGGAGTAGTAGTCAAGCACTTAAAATGAATGCAACAATGGCCTATATACTTAAATATAGTACATTTGAAATTCTATGTTTATAAAATAAAAGTTGATTTTTCTCTCTATGTGTCTAGAAACAATGGAAGAACAAATATGCCATAAATGAAACTCAGAAGCCAGCAGATCGTTCAAAAATGACTATGAGAGACTTTATATATTACCTGCCAGATAGCAATCCAATGACGTGAGTAAACTTTATTTGTTTTAATTTCTTTGAGTATATTGTGATTTAAATATCATCTATGGAGTACAGGTTCATGTTTTCCAAAAGCACATCTTTGACAAAATTTATAGTACATCTGATGTCCTTTTTTTTAAATCCTCACCTGAGGATATTTATCTATTTTCTTCAGACAGAGTGGGAGGGAGACAAAGGGAGAGAGAGAGAGAGAGAAACATGGACATGAGTGGGACACATCGACTGGTTGCCTCCCGCACGACCCCCACCAGGGCCAGGAAGAACTGCAACTGGCGTACCGTGCTCTTGGCTGGAACCGAACCTGCGACTCATTGGTCCGAGGGCTGACACACTACTGCTGAGCTGAACTGGCCAGGGCTGATGTCTTTTGGAATAAAATTTTGCAACAGAAATTAGTAGTATTTCAAGAAACTGCTTTCTTGGGATGGTAAATAATCCCCTTTACCTCTGAGATTAAAAATAGGTTTCTTTTGTTATATTATTAATATGTGCTAAAACTAGCTATACAACTTTTCTGTAATCATGATTGTAATTTCTATTTCTTGTACACTATAACTTGATCTAAAGGGGTGATCTAATTTTTATGCCATATCTCTTTTTTTTTTTTAAATTTTTTTCTTGATTGCTTTTAGAGAGAAAGGAAGGGAGAGAGAGAGATAGAAACATCGATGAGTGAGAACATCAGTTAGCCGCCTCCTGCATGCCCCGCCACTGGGGACTTGGCCCACAACCTGGGTATGTGCCCCAACCGGGAATCAGACTGGTGACCTCTTTGTGCATGGGTTGACGCTCAACCGCTGAGCCACACCGGCGGGGCTATGCCGTGTCTCTTAATTAAATGCAGTAGCATTTGATTAATGAATCCTCCAAGAACAAAGCTTCTTTAATCAAAGTTAGCCTGGGGAGGAAGAGGGTTTATGATAAATCTCATTTTTGTGTTGTTGATGGTTTAGTTGGTTGATGGATGTGTAGTGCCATCACCTTTTTCAGATTCATTAGGTCTTTGGCCTAGTTCAGCATTTTCAACCGGTGTGCTGCAAGAATTTTTAATAATATGCAATACCTGACTATTAAGTCAGGGGCACTGACCTCTTTTCCCTTAGATGTCAAATAAAAAAGTGATAACAGCCAACACAACAGTAGCTGTCTGGTGTGAATGAATTAACATTACACCTATTTTTTTGTCAGTTCAGCAAAAAACATTTTTTGGTGTTCCACAGAATTTTAGTAATTAGTTTATATGTGCCATGAGATGAAGAAGATTGAAAATCGCTGGCCTAGTTGAAGGAAGGGCCAGAATCTTAGCTTTTGAGTTGTTTAACAAGCCACTAGGTTGCTTCATGCCTTTGGACTAGGAGCCTCCCTTCACTGAGGAATTAGAGGGTAAGAAAGTTCCCTGCAAAGCTATCATTTAGAATCGATGGACATATCAAGAGTTTCCCAGACAAGAAAAATCTAAAGGAGTTCATCACCACCAAACCAGTATTATATGAAATGTTTAAGGGTCTTCTTGAAGGAGGAGAACAAAAATGTGAATGATAAAATGGCAATAAATACATATCAGCAATTGAATCTACAAACAAAATGAACAAGCAGAACAGAAACAGACTCATAGATACAGAGAACTTTTTGTTGCTTGCCAGATGGGCAAGGGCTGGAGGGATGGGTGAAAAAGATGAAGGAATTAAGAAGTACAAATTGGTTGTTAGACTGATGAACTTCAAAGGGAAGAGGGAGGGAGGGAGGGCGGGATGAGATTAACCATAAACTTCTATGCATATATGCATAACCAATTGACATAGACAATAGTGTGGGGAAGGCAGGAGGAGAGTGAGATTGGGGAGGAGGGGATCAATGGGGAAAAAAACGGGGACATCTATAATACATTCAACAATAAAGATGAGTTAAAAACAAAAAGAAAAAACATGAAAATTCCCTACTTAGGGCCTACAGATTATACTTGGTACACAAGTTTTTGACTGAAAAATTGACTGTTGGGATACACCATCATTAATAGTAGTGTTATAGTATATCACTAAAAAAATGCATGTTAAAATAATTTACTTCTTGTCTACAGATAGAGTTGACAAAATGTAAATTAATTCTTTATTAAAAATATTGTTATTTGTGTTTAATAGTTCTTCACTTGAGCAAGAAAAGAAAACTGAAAAATCATTGACACCAGTTCAGACAAGAGAGTAAGTATCTTAATTCTTTTTTGAATATATTCTGGTATGGATGCATTTTAAAAAAAAAGATACTTCCTGTTATAGTCAAATTCTGTGTGATAGGAATTTTTGTTGTTCTTGTTAATCACATCTGAGAATATTTTTACCATTCTTAGAGTGGAAGGGTGGGGGGCAGGAGAGCGAGAGAGAGAGAGAGAGAGAGAGAGAGAGAGAAAGAGAAACATTGATGTGAGAGACACATTGATTGGTTGCCTCCTGCACATGCTCTGACTGGGCCTGGGGATAGAACCTGCAATCCAGGGATTAGTCCTTGACTAGGAATTGAACCCGCTACTCTGCTATGTGGGCCAACACTCTAACCATTGAGCAACACTGGGCAGGGTAAGAATTTTTGTTTTTTTAAATTTTTTCTTTCTATATTGATTTTTAGAGGGAGAGAGAGAGAGAAACATCAATGAGACAGAACGTTGATTGGCCGCCTCCTGCATGCCCTGCACTGGGCTCACAACCTGGGCATGTGCCTTGACTGGGCATGGCGACTTCTTGGTGCATGGGTTGACATTCAACCACTGAGTCACAGTGGCCAGGCTGGGCAGGAATTTTTAAAAAAATATGTTTTTATTAATCTTTAGAGAAAGAGGAAGGGAGAGGGAGAGATACAAACATCAATGAGAGAGAAACGTTGATTGGCTGCCTCCTGCATTCCCCCTACTGGGGATCTAGCCTGCAACCTGGGTGTGTGCCCCTACTGGGAATTGAACCAGCAACTTCTTAGTGCGTGAGACAATGCTCAACCAATTGAGCTACACCGTCTGGGCCAGAGCAAGAACTTTTTAAATAGAATTGCTAGAAGAATAAAGTTACTATCATTTTTAATAAATAAGAAAGTCCTACACTATTTGTGTATTAATAAATATAAATGACCAATGTTATGATTTTACATTAAAGCTTTTAGAATTAAAAGAGTTTTTGTTTTGCTTTAGCATAATGATATATTCACATGTACAAAATTAAAAAGAAATAAAAATATACTAAGTAAAGTTTTCCAACTCTGCTTTTCTGCCATCTAGTTCCTCTTCCTGGAGGCAACACGTTACCAATTATTTTATTTATTTAAAAAAAATCCTTAGCTGAGGATAGTTTTCCATTCATTTTCAGACACAGTTGGGGTGGGGTGGGGTGGGGAGAGGGAGAGAAACAGAAACAGAAACGTGATAGAGACACGTTGATTGGTTGCCTCTTGTATGACCCTAACCAGGGTCAGGACCTAACCACAACCGAAGTACATGCCCTTGATCGGAATCGAACCTGAAAGTCTGGTCTGCAGGGTGATGCTCTAACCGCTGAGCCAAACTGGCCAGAGCACTAATTTTTTAAATGTATCATTCTAATTCTAGTCTATGTTTATTCAAGCAAACATATATTTAGTATTTTTTTTTGTTTGTTTGTTTTTATCCTCACTCGAGGACATTTTTCTAGTTTTTGTTCAGATAGAGTGGGAGGGAGAGAGAGGAAGAGAGAGAGAGAGAGAGAGAGAGAGAGAGAGAAAGAAGCATCAACGTGAAAGTGACACATCGAGTGGCTACCTCCCACACGACCCAACCAGGGCTGGGGACAAACCGCAACCGAGGTATGTGCCCTTAGTAGAAACCAAACCTGGGTCTCTCTGGACTGCAGGCTGGCACTCTAACCGCTGAGCCAAACTGGCCAGGGCTAGTATATTTCTTTTTGTTTCCTTTCTCCTATTTTCCCTTTCTTCTTCCCCCTTTCTTTCCCTTTCATTTTAATTTTTTCCCTTTTTTTTTTTCTTTTTATTGTTGAAAGTATTACAGATGTCTCCCCTTTTGCCCCATTGACTCTCTCCTGCCTGCTCCCACCCCACTTCATTTTCCTTTCTGAGCATTCTCTGCATGCTGTTCTGCTATAGGTGTAGTTTTGATGCCATCATTGAGTCTTTTTTATACAAGCTCTCTGTTGCCTTCCACATTGCACTGTCATGTTACTACAAAGAAGGCCCTCCAAGAGACTTCATAGGAAGTTATTATAGGCTTGTAATTTATGGTGGGGGATTGTGGAAAATTAATAGATACATTGAGATTTTCTGTTTGGTACTTCAAGGTTTATTATGTAATGATTACTGTTGTTTTTTTTTAGAATCCACATTGTTTTAAAGCAGAACTCTCAAGCTTTACAACTAGGTTATGTTTTAATAGATTTATTGGTATGCTTGCTTCAGTAAAACCTTAAGGAGACAATGTAATTAAATGGAAGGTATATGGGGTTTGGAGTCATTACTTGGAAAATTATGTTTGGCTTCTTGGTGTATACTACACAAATAGTAATGTTTGTGTAATCTAGAGCAAAAGTTACTTGTCTTCTCCAAGCCTTAGATGGGTATGAAAGTACCCCCAGTGGTTGTTCTGAGAGTTAACAAAATGATTTGGAAACTAATGCTATATAAATATAAGGGTTATTTTTGTTACTTCTATAATACATAGATGTTTTACTGTGATACTCTTTTGAGATAGAAAAGATGATCATTTATTTCTCTTTATTTTCAAAGAGAGTAAGGCTTATTATTAAATGCTACTAGGTAAAATTTGAGAAAAACTTATAACCTTCTCTATAACAACACATGGTATTTTCTTCTATTGATTGATCGATTGATTGATTAAAGAGAGAGTGAGAGAAACATAGATTTTTGTTGTTTCACTTATTTATGTATTCATTGGTTGACTTTTATTTTATTTTTTCTTTATTGATTTTAGAGAGAGAAGAACAAAGGGAGAGAGAGATAGAAACATCGGTGAGAGAGAACATTGATTGGCTGCCTCCTGCTTGACCCCCACTGGGGATTTGGCCCACAATCTGGGCATGTACTCTGACCAGGAACCGAGCTGGTGACCTTTTGGTGAATGGGACAACGCTCAGCCACTGAGCCACACTGGCTGGACCATTGGTTGATTCTTGTATGTGCCCTGACTCGGGATTAAACCCACAGCGTTGGTATATTGGGACAACGCTCTAACAAATTAAGCTACACAGCTAGGGCAATACATAGTATTTTCAATTAGATTATAGGGAAACTTGGAAATAGCTAGAAGGTTGAATTTGCAATATTTTATTTTAGAAGTTCAAAATAGTCAGAAACACTTCCTATGGATATATGAATTAACCTGTGTTTACCTTTGATAGGCAAGAAGATAAGAGTACTCCTGATGTTGAAGATAATGAAGAACTGGAAGAAGAGATGGATGATGGTCCATTGCTGGTTCCTCGAGTAAAAGTGGCAGAAGATGGTTCCATAATTTTGGATGAAGAAAGGTGAGTTATAAAAATAAAGAGCAAGCCCGACTGTTGTGGCTTAGTGGATTGAGCATTGTCCCATGGACTAAGAAGTCCCAATTTGAGTCCCTGTTCGATTCCCGGTCAGGGCACATGCCTGGGTTGGCTCCATTCTCAGTAGCAGACATGCAGGATTTGGCCGATCAGTGTTTCTCACATCAATGTCTCTCTTTCTCCCTTCTTCTCTCTCAAAAAAGATTAATAAAAACCTATTTAAAGAACAAACAAACAAAAAAGTTAAAAAAAAAAGAGCAAGAGCTCATGGTTTCATCACAACAAAATTGCTTGTCCAATGAAAGAAATTGAGTTTATCTGTCATTGTCATTTAGAGTCTGATGTTTATATTTGCACAATGGATGTTGTAAATAGAAAGGTGTGTTGGATTCATTTATAATTTTTAGCAACTTTCATTTTTAAGACTTTAAAAAATTGATTTTAGGAAGAGGGAAGAAGATGCAGAGTGGGGGGAAAGATTTGTTGTTTTCACTTATTTGTGCATCATTGGTTGATTTTTTATTTTTTAAATCCTCACCTGAGGACATTTTTCCATTGATTTTTAGATAGAGTGGGAGGGAGGGCGGGAGAGAGAGAGAGAGAAACATGGATGTGAGAGAGACACATCAGTTGGTCGCTTCCCACATGACCCCAGCCAGAGCTAGGACCAGGGCAAGAGATCAAACCTGAAACAGAGGTGTGTGCCCTTGACCTGGATTGGACTGACGCTCCAACTGCTGAGCCAGATTGGCCAGGGCGATTGGTAGATTCTTGTATGTGCCCTGATGGGATCGAACCTGTAACCTTGGTGTAGCAGGATGATGCTCTAACCAATTAAACTACCCGAACAGAGCCATGATTTTTAGCAATTTTTATAATTCTCTATTTTGTATGTGAAGGTGGCAGTACCACTGTTGTTTTATCAACTGTACTGGTAATTGGGATGAGCTTTTGAGCTAATCATATGCTGTCTTCCTCTGAGGATAGATTTCAAAGATTGTTTCAGTCTTGAAGTCAGTATTCAAGTTTTCATATTATTAACTAAATACCATAATCTGGTGGATGGTGATAACTAAGGAAAATGCAATGAAACATAGTTTAACATATTTTCTGATTTTTTATGGTAAGGTTTAATTCACTTTCTGGTTTAATTTCTCAGTTATGACATTAAATTTCTCATATGTGGAATTGTGGAATTTAGTTGTCTTTCCAAAATGTATTTTTTTAAAAAGTAGATAGTTTTTTAGTAAGTAAAAAAAGGGGATAGAAACTCTCCTTACAGTTTAACCAGTAAAAAATTACTTTATAGCATATAGATTCTATGATAATTAAATGTACTACTGTTAATGATAATTGTTTTTACATGTTGTTTTTCCATATTTTGTGATGATGATTTTACTGGTCATTAAATAAATAGTTAAAAACATATTTAACTGCTTTGCCTGCAGGAGTATAAAACATAAATATAAATATCTTATATTTTCCAACATCCTTTGTTGAGTCTCGCATGATAGATAATATATATTGAATATAGGAGACATGCAGAAGTCAGTAAAACAAATAATTTTTTAGGTAGCTCAAAGATATTTTCTAAATTTTATATTGCTTTTAGGATTTTGAAAAAAAGTTGACATTTATTTTTACTCCCTGGCAATCACATTTTATTTATTTTTTGTTTATTGATTTTAGAGAGAGAGGAAGGGAGAGGGAAAGAGAGACAGAAACATTGATGAGAGAGAACATCGATTGGCCGCCTCCTGCATGCCCCCCACTGGGGATTGGGCCCACAACTTGGGCATATGCGCTGACTGGGAATCAAACTGGCCATCTCCTGGTGCATGGGTGGACGCTCAACCACTGAGCCACACTGGCCGGGCACATTTTATTTTTTTATATATTGATTTGAGAGAGAGAGCGAGAGAAATAAATTGATTTGTTTTTCTGCTTATTTATGCATTCATTGATTGATACTTGTATGTGCTCTAAGGATTGAACATGCAACCTTGATGTAACAGGTTGGTGCTCTAACCAACTGAGCTACCTGGCCAGGGCCCCTGACAATCAAATGTTAGGTGAAAATTAGATTCTTAGAAAATATGCATACCTCAAAATGCATACTGTACTTTTAATGTGACTCTGCCATGGTAAATTTCAAAGTATCACTATTCAAATATTATTTGCTACCTGTTTTCTTACTTGTTTTTACTGTGGATCTATTTAAAAATGTGTTTCTTTCAGTTTAACTGTAGAAGTTTTAAGGACGAAAGGTCCCTGTGTTGTTGAAGAAAATGACCCCATATTTGAGCGTGGTTCTACAACTACATATTCCAGCTTTAGGAAAAACTATTATTCTAAACCATGGTCAAATAAAGGTAACTAATTTTCATTTTATATTGTGTAGGTCATTTATTTGAAATGAAATGAATTATTTTCTGTTTTTGAATTAAACCAGTCTCCCCTAAATAAAATGCAAACTACCATGTGGCTTCTGTCTAGCTAATTTTATTGACACTCCCTTATCCCCACCCTCATGGCACTATAACTATCTTAGAAAGATTTTTAGGAATTAGCATTATGGCCATTTGGGCTGGAATGTTTCTCTCTGTTAAATCTCTGTACAACAAGTACTGTTTTAATGAAGAATTAACAATATTTCTAATGCTTACAATATTTTCTACCTTAGATAGTATTGCATAATAAAGTTTCTACAACTAAAAATTATGCAGTTCAAAAGTATGTATTGTCTATTGCATGCTGTTGCTTATTAACTTACTTTTTATTGTAGAAGTAGTATTTTGTTTTGGGAAAAAATTCCAATGTAACAGAATAATATAGAGTGAAAAGAAAGATTCTGTACTTCCCTATTAGCTTGAGGTTACTTCTGTCAACAGTTCCTTATGTATTTTTCTAGCTGCTTTCTTTCACATACTACTAAGCACATCTTAGTTGCTTACGTAATGGTGATACTGAATTCGCTATGCCCGATTTTGAGACCAGATAGGCAGAATGTCTTTTTAAAAAAAAAAATTCCAGCTGCTTTGGTATGAGCATGCAGATTTCTTATACCATGTTTCTGTATAAGTTTAAAGATGTTTTTAATTTTTTAAATTGAATTTAGAGGGGAGGGAGAGACAGAGAGAAACATCAATTTGTTATTCTACTTTTATTTATTTATTTTTTTATCCTCACCTGAGGACATTTTTCCATATTTTGTTCAGATAGAGTGGGAGGGAGAGAGAGAGAAACATCGACGTGAAGGGGACACATCGAGTGTTTTCCACCCGCACAAACCCAACCAGGGCCAGGGACAAACTGCAACCGAGGTACATGCCCTTAGTGGGAACTGAACCCGGGTCTCTCTGGACCGCAGGCTGATGCTCTAACCGCTGAGCCAAACCATCAGGGCTGTTATTCTACTTTTAATTTATTTTATTTATTTTTTAATCTTCACCTGAAGATATTTTTCCATTGATTTTTTTTTTTTTTTTTTTCAGATGGAATGGGAGGGAGATGAGAGAGAGAAGCATTGATGTGAGGGAGACACATTGGTTGCCTCCCGCACAACTCCTCTGGGACTGGGGATCAAACCCAGAACAGGTGCATGCCCTTGCTTGTAATTGAACTCTCATGACTACTTGGTCCTTGAGTCATGCTCTAACTGCTGAGGCAAACCGGCCAGGGCTATTTTATTTTTTAATTGATTTTTTAGAGAGGGGAAGGGAGAGAGAGAAAAGAGAGACAGAGAGGGAGAGAGAAAACATCTGTGTGAGAGAGAAACATTGATCTGTTCCCTCCTATATACCCTCTGACCCAGGATAGAACCTGAAACCTGGGTATGTGCCCTGACTGGGAATATAGAACCTGCCACCTTTTGGTGTTTGGGACAATGCTCCAACCAACTGAACCACACCAGCCCGGGCTGTTCTGCTTATTTATGCATTCATTGATTACTCCTTGTAAATGCCCTGACTGGGGAACGAACTGGAATCATTGGTGTATCGGGACAAAGCTCTAACCAGCTGAGCTACCTGGCTAGGGCTTAGAGAAGATGTTTTTAGATCCATGAGGTTCTTTGCAACAAAATTGAAATACGTCTGTAATTTTGTACATATAGTTATTTCTATGACTAAAGATCTATTGGACTGTAATAAAAAACTACCAAGTATTATCAAATTTATTTTAACTCAAAGTATATACTTGGATAATGTTTGTTTCCTCTGAAATATGAAGAAGATTAATTTTGTCTTTCTATATATTTTTTTTTACAGAAACAGATATGTTTTTTTTAGCCATTAGCATGGTAGGCACTGACTTTTCTATGATTGGACAGCTCTTTCCTCACAGAGCAAGGATAGAAATTAAGGTAAAGTAAACCTATTACATTTGTTGATTAGAAAGAAACTAAAAAAATTAATTTTTTTAACCTTTGATTTAAATCTCAGTACCCTTTTTCACTATTATATTTTTGGTATACCTGTTTCTTTTTATAGCTCAAAAATTAATGTAATATTTTTCCATTCTAATATGAATACAATTTCCTTAACTTTACTGTTGTATTTTCTTATTTATATCTTGTCTACTTCTAAAATGTCTTTGAGGGAGTACCAATAAAACCACTGAAACTAAGATAAAAGAAGAGCTAAATAATGAAGAGGGAAGATGAATGTACTAGAGTATTTGGGTTAAGGGTAGCTTTTTGATCACAAAATATATTTATGTATTTCCTAGGAAGACTTGAAGAGAAGCATGCTGAATTACATAGTTCTCATTATCTGATGTAACTATTGCTTTCTTAGGCCACCTTAACTTTTGGACAACCAGTGACACTATTAACAATAGCAGTGATTTCAGTTTGTGCTGTAATGTGCCTAAAAGGATGGGCTTTCTCTGCTTTATAGTTCTTTTTGTTGAGAAACTTTATTATAGGTTTCCTGGGTTGGGGTGCATTTGAGTGTACACTGTGTTGCTGTAATGCATTTCCATTTGATAGTGAGATCTTTATTCAACTGTGTGTTTAAACTTCATTAATTAAAGGGACCATTAGAAAAGATAGATTTTTTTTCCCTTGGGCTAGGCATGGATTGATCACTTGATGAACAATGTACAGTGTAATGGTCATTGTATTTCTACAAAAGATGAGAAATATTTATGTTTATATATATATATTTATTTTTATCCTCACTCGAGGACATTTTTCCATTTTTTGTTCAGATAGAGTGGGAGGGAGGGAGAGAGAGAGAGAAACATTGATATGAAAGGGACACATCGAGTGGTTGCCACCCGCATGACCCAACCAGGGCCGGGGATAAACCGCAACCGAGGCATGTGCCCTTAGTGGGAACTGAACCCGGGTCTCTCTCGACTGCAGGCGGATGCTCTAACCACTGAGTCAAACCGGCCAGGGCAGAAATATTTATATTTTTTAATGTTGAGAACAAAATGTTCAAGTTCTGAGAAGGCTAGAAATTGATTGTGTAGAGGAGCTGATCCAAGTAACTTATGATAAATTTGTCATTAGACTATTTCTCTCAAAATTATTTTAAACTCTTCCCCTAAAAGTTTGGTGAAGTTCCAACAGGTCTTTGGGCAAAGTGTAGAAAAGTGGAAATAGACTAGTGAACTACACTGATTTTCGAATGTTGAAACAACCTTGGATTCCAGGGATAAATATCATTTAGACATGCTGGGATTTATTCATTATGTATAGTGAGTGCCTTAGGGCATTAGGGCTTAATTCCCATGCTAGAATGTTAAGAAAGACTCCTTTACTGTGATCCATATATCTGAGTGGTGGCTCTTCTGGTAAATGGGTATTAAAGTTTTCCATTCGTGTGGGCTTGAACTCTGTCATCTCACTGTGTTATGTGACTTCTGGTATCTTCCTTCCATTCTCATCCCTGTAGTGGCTGATCTGCACTAGGCCTCATGCTCTGGAGTTATGCAACTCAGATATAACCAAGACATGGGGTACTTTCACCAGGCTTGTGAGGCTCCTTTTTAAATAGCTCTCTTCTCTCTGGAACCCTGCCCTAAACATTCTCTACCTCCTTAGCTCAGCGGGATCTCTGCTTTATTTGGCCTTTATCTCCCTTTCATTGGATTGGAAAGTTAGCTCAGGAAGAGAACCAGGGTGAACACTGGTACACCTTGTGTGTTTCCCTTCTCTCGGGGATTGTTGGATTGTAGTCTTTGTTGTTCTGCCTATTGTCCAATGCTTGAAAATAGTTGATGCATTTATTTTGTTCATTGTTAAAAGTTATTTATGGTGGGGTTGGATGTGTGGAATACTCCTGTAACCAGTTACTTTGTCAGGGCCAGAGGTGGAAATTATGGAATTTATTTATTTATTATTTTTAAAATTTTTATTTCATTTACTCTTTAATTTATTTATTTTAGTTACAGATGTTTCTCCTTTTTCCCTCACTTATTCTCCCCTCCCTCCCCCTCCCCACCCTGTCCCCACCTTTGTTGTCCATGTCCATTGTTCATATATACATGCATATAAGTTCTGTGGTTTATCTCTTCCCCTCTCCACCCCCTCTTCTGGGGTTGTCAGTCTGTACCCACTTCCACATCTCTGGGACTACCCCGTTCCTCATTCTGTTAGGTTCATTATATTCCACCGATAAGTGAGATCATGTGATATTTGTCTTTCTTTGCTTGGCTTATTTCGCTTAGGATAATACTCTCCAGTATTATCGTCTCAAAGGATAAGAGATCTTTCTTACAGCTGCATAGTACTCCATTGTGTATATGTACCACCGCTTTTTTTTGTATCTTTATTGTTGAATGTATTACAGATGTTCCTCATTTTCCCCCCACTGACCCCTCCTCCCCACTCCCACCGCCTCCCGCCTTTTCTCACACTATTGTCTGTGTCCATTGGTTATGCATATAAGTTCTTTGGTTTATTTCTTCCCACCTCCCAACCCCTTTCCCTTTGAAGTTTGTCAGTCTTGCAATGAATTTGTACTTCTTAATCCCTTCACTTTTTTCACCCATTCCCCCAACCCTCCCATCTGGCAACCAACAAAATGTTCTCTGTATCTATGAGAATGTTTCTATTCTGCCTATTCATTTTGTTTGTAGATTCCATTGTCGATAGATATGTATTCATTGCCATTTTGTTTGTTCATATATTTTATCTTTTTCTTCAAAAAGACCCTTCATCATTTCATACAGTAACGGTTTGGTGGTGATGAACTCCTTTAACTTTTTCTTGTCTGGGAAAGTCTTTATATGGCCATCGATTCTAAATGACAGCTTTGCAGGATAGAGTAATCTTGGTTGTAGGTTCTTGGTTTTCATCACTGTGAATATTTCTTGCCACTCCCTTCTGGCCTGCAAAGTTTCGTTTGAGAAATCAGCTGACAGCCTTATGGGAACCCCCTTGTAGGTAACTAAATGCTGTTCTCTTGCTGCTTTTAATCACTGAGCCAAACCAGCCAGGGCTTCTTGCTGCTTTTAAGATTGTCTCTTTGTCTTGAACCTTTTGCATTTTGATGATGATGTGTCTTGGTGTGGGCTTCTTGGGGTTCATCTTGTTTGGGACTCTCTGTGCTTCCTGGACTTGTATGTCTGTTTCCTTCACCAAGTTAGGAAAGTTTTCTGCCATTATTGTTTCAAACAGGTTTTCAATTTCTTGTTCTCTCTCTTCTCTTTCTGGCACCCCAAGATGCGAATGTTGGCATGCTTGAAGTTGTGCCAGAGGTTCCTTACACTCTCCTCAGTTTTTTGGATTCGATTTTCTCTTTGCTGTTCTGATTGGGCGTTTTTGCTTCCTTATATTCCAAATCGATGATTTGCTTCCTGGATTGACGTACTCTACCATTGAATCTGTGTAAATTATTCTTTATTTCAGTTAATGCCTCCTTCATTTCTGACTGTGCATCCATCATTTCTGACTGGTCCTTTTTTATGCTCTTGAGGCCCTCACTAAATTCACTGACGTTCATTGAGCATCCTTATAAGCAGTATTTTGAACTCAGCATCTGTTATGTTGCTTATCTCCATTTCACTTAGTTCTTTTCTTGGGGTTTTGTTCTGTTCTTTCATTTGGGACCTGTTTTTTTGTCTCCTCATTTTGGTTGCCTCCCTGTGTTTGTTTCTGTGTATTACTTAATGAGAGGTATGGGGCTACTTGAGACCAGATGCTGCTTGTTTGAAAGAATTTAGGAAAACCTGAAGTAGGATCCAAGATAGGCCAATGCTATGGTTAAGCAACTGGCAACAGCTTGGGTGAGCCTAAAGTTGGGTGGGGCGGGGCCTCAGGGAATCACCAGTTTGGGGCAACCAGTGTGAGCCAGGTTGCTGGAGTCCCAGTTATGGCGACTGTCTGCCGCCCCAGGGAAGGGCTCACCAAAGGAACAAAGGCCTCTGACAGCAGTTTGTCCCTGAGAAAGCCCCTTCTCCAGCCCTCACTCCAAAGCCAAACAGCTCAGTTCTTCCCTGTATGTCTCTGGTGCCCCTCGAGCTGCCTCCCCTCCAAGCTTAGAGGAAGTGAGTTCTATAAGTCCTTGCGCGGGCCCTTTAAGGAGCTGCCTGGGGCTCCAGCCGCCAGCTTCCCTGAGCCTCAGTTCCCGCTGGTTTTTCCAGTTAGAAGTTATGGGAACTTCCCTTCCTGGCACTGGAACCCTGAGTGGGGCCTCTGATGTGGGACGGGGACCCCTCAGTCCTCAGGGAAGACCTTCCCAGCCAGGTGTCCTCCTGATTTTTATCCACCACACGTGGGTGTGGGACCAGCCCGTCGCGCCTCCGCCCCTCCTACCAGTCTCGATGTGGCTGCTGCTTTAATTTCGTAGTTGTAGGACTTCCATTCAGCTTGATTTCAGGCGGTTTGGAATGATAGTTGTTCTGTAGTTTAGTTATAACTTTGATGTGGTTGTGGGAGGACATGATACCGCGTTTATCTACGCCGCCATCTTGACCAGAAGTCGTAAGACAACTTTTTTATCCATTCGTCTGCTGATGGACACTTGGGCTGTTTCCAGATCTTAGCTACTGTAAATAGTGCTGCTACAAACATGGGGGTACATATATTCTTTCTGATTGGTGTTTCAGGCTTCTTAGGGTATATTCCTAGAAGTGAGATCACTGGGACAAATGGAAGTGCAATTTTTAATTTTTTGAGGTAACACCATATTGATTTCCATAGTGGCTGCACCCGTCTGCATGCCCACCAGCAGTGTATTAGAGTCCCCTTTCTCCACACCCTCGCCAACACTTGTTGTTCGATGATTTGTTGATGGTGGCCATTCTGACAGGTGTGAGGTGATACCTCATTGTTGTTTTAATTTACATCTCTCTAATGATTAGTGATGTTGAGCATTTCTTCATATGTCTCTTGGCCATTTGTATGTCCTG